GGGAAGTTTCCCACGCGTTCTGATTGGTCAGAATTTTATGGAAAATAACCACGCTGACGTCACGCGACTTTTTCGCGAAAATTCCGGCTGGACAAAATGGCGGTTGTTTTTCGCCGAAAATTCAGAAAAAATCAGAGAAAAGTTTTTCGAGAGTTCTGTTACACTCTTCTAGTGCAGAATTTCTCGGAGAATCCAAAAATGCTAGTTTTACGCAAATGGGATGAAAGGTTCAAAAGTTATGGAATTTTAAAGTTAGGTTCTACGTGAAAACCTCCAATTTTTAGAGAGTTCTACGAAAACCTACGACGCCACAGCAGGTCTTACCGGCGGTTATTCGCTCCAGACAATGCTGCTCCGTCGTTCCACTTCACCCTCTTCTTCCGTGAGGGCCGCAGCGCACCCGATAGGGCGTAATGGTGTGGCAGGACCGTACCGAACGCAGTTTTTGCGCCGGGAGCCAAAGCTGCGGGAGGCCTACTTATAAGCCTGACCCGTATCAACGCGACCCGGTAGGGTGCTTATTTGGACAACTGCGACGTACCCAACTCAGTTTTTGAGCGGGGAGCCAAAGCTGCGGGGGACCTACTTATAGGCACCGACCCGTATGAATACTCCGTCGCGCAGCAGACTTCCAATGAAGTCTGTATGATGCAGGAAATGTGGTGATTCGGAGTGCGCGAAAGCTTGAGTTTTAGTGTATCTGTGTATGTATCCCATTTTTGAGACCATATACCGGGCCGTTTCCCTTAAAGATTAATCAGGCATGTCGCCCTTCTCGTAAAATATTATCTTTTAAAAATCAAAAAGTGTTTTCAGAAAACTTTCAGAAAGCCAAATAAGATTTCGAACTCGAAGTTTGATCCGATGCAACGTTTAACGCAGCTTTGCAGAAAGTCAGTTTTTGGCTGCTTAATTTCGAACCGGTGGTTGAGTGGCCTGCTTAGCAATGGTGGATGCTTCACTGCTCCGTAGACTCTGCATGTTACGTGTTTCAAAGTTTTCTAAAAACTGACTTAGTTTTCTAAATCCGTAACATCTTACACACGAGTATGCTGTGTTCCGGATGATTGGCCGACCGGCTGGAATTTTATTGCGCAATCATGATGTGCTGTACCTTAAATATGGTGCCTTCAAGCTGCTTGTCCACAATCTGAAATTTGCTGTGGTATTGTCATCCGGAAGCTGTTTTTGGTCTGACCCGGATTTCGTTGCCGGAAACGCGTCGACATTTACGAAGTCCAACCGACACGATCATGAACCGTCACGAACTAAGCTGGTGTGTTGCTGAATCTTTGCTGTTTACAGAGGTTACAGAGGTTCTTTGCTGTTTATCTTTGCTGTTTATAGGTCTTTGGCATTCTTAATGGAGTTTTTACTTTTCTTGGTTGTCTTAACTCTTGGCCTTCCTTATCATATTAAGGTTCTTAAGCTGCTTTGATTTTAAGAGTTTTCTATGTCCTCGCTAACGGCCAACGCAGTGTTAGTCGACATAGTTTCGGCGGGTCGCGCGCCGCATTTATAGTTAAGTAAGTTATTGCTTGTTTTTGCTTGCAGTTAACATGCGCTCGCTGCAGCAACAGGTGCCGGACCGCGACTGTGACATTGCCCAACCGTAGACTTATGTTAAAAATCTGCCCTGACAGTTGTACAACATTCGCTTGGAAAAGAGGAATGTGTCTGGCCTGGGATGTGACGTGCGTTGACACGGTGGCCCTTTCCCATCTCCCTTCGACGTCGGTTACCCCAGGAGCCGCTGCCGTACAAGCAGAAGAAAAGAAGTTCCGACTGTACGCGAATCTGCAAGGGCGTTACATCTTTTCCCCCATCGCCTTTGAGACGATGAGCCCCTGGAGGCTGGGGCCCTTCGGCTGCCGCCATTGTGAAGGAGTTGGGCAAAAGACTGCAGGAGTACACAGGAGAGCGTCGATTGCATGAGTTTTTGCGTCAACGATTATCGTTGGAGATTCAGCGCGGAAATGTAGCATCGATGCTCGGCACGATGGACGGAGTGGATAGTTTAAGTGAAGTCTTGCTGTTGTGATTAGTATAGCATGTTTAGTACCCGAACTGTGCGAAGTTTATTAATAAAATGCGAATTCCACCTGCGAAATCTGATCGACATAAGGAACCGGCCGATTGAAAATCAGCAGCTGCGCTTGCAGCGTAAGGAAGCGTGAGTAACGGAGGTGGTGCAAAACGGCGAGAAGCTGGCGGCGCGCATTGCTCAGCTCGTGCAGTTCTATGGGAAGATCTGCGGGCTGCTGGCCGGCGGACATCCGGATGTTGTGAAGCAACCAAAGGTGAGGAACGCGTTGTTATTTTCTGCACTTAGTCGCTGTAATTATACTGTAATCTGCTGGGCCTTTCAACGCTGAACGTTTCCAGGATGCGAAGGCTGTTGTCGACCTCCCTGTTACGTCTCGCACGTGGACGCTACACGTGGACGTAATTCCTACTTCCAACCCAATTCCTCAGGTCGACGCTGCTAAAGAGTAAGGAATTAGAGTAAAGAGTAAGGAGTCCGCAATTCGAATTCGTTGATTAATTTGCGCGGTTAAAAAGGGGCATCTAAATAGTGTGCTACTGTTTTTTTCGTCTTAGCTATGTGTTACAATGTAGTACGTATATACAATAGCTAACCATACGAACGTAAAAGCAGTATAAGTATACTTCTATTACAGTATTTACATTACTTACCGTGCACATATGCTGCAGACTAATACGTATTATTATTATTTTAACAGTCATGCCAGAATGATATTATACTGCACTACGGAATGATAGTGATCATATATTGTTGGCGGCGATAAGCGAACTGAAGCACGTCTGAGAGCAGTCAGTGCGAAGTACGCCGGCTTAGCGGTCTTCCTGCAAAGGTATTCGGCAACCTCCTGGATGACGAGACGTTCCGAATTTCTCTTGGCTCTTTGGCTTGGCGCTCAGATCGTGGAGCCCCATTCATGCGCCAGATATGAAAAGGATATCACGGAAAACGGATACCAGGGACTAACCTGCCAAAAGGGTGGTCGTAGAAGGGAACGGCAAAATGGTATTAACAATATTATTCTGCGACCTTTGTGCAATACCGGCATTGAATCGATTCTTTAGCCTGTGGGAATTATACGTGAGAACGGAAAGCGGCCGGATGTAGCTAATCGCGATGGAAATGGCATCGTGGAGAACCGCTAGTTTTGGGACGTGACATGCAGAGATACTATGGCGGATTCGTATATCGACGCAACTTGGAGTGTGCCGGCGCCGCCGCCGAACTGGCATTGACCGTCAACTGTCAAGATGGGGACGTACAAGTCGCTTCCTGATCGCTGTTATTTTGTCCCCATTGCGTGCGAGACATTTGGCACTCATTATGATGCTGCAGTCGTTTGGTTAAAGGAGATGAATAAAAACTGTATGAGAACTGGCGAGAGTCGTTCCACCTGCTTTCTGTTGCAATTTATTTCTTAGATTATTCTTAGGTTTTCACAGTTTATTTTTCAATGTGCACATCAACGAGCACCACTCAGAGTGTTCAACCAAATGAGGAATTTGTCCCAGTTAACATGAGAAGCGACCGGGAACAATACGCTCGTAGCATTACAACGCACAATCTCTAAACTTATAAACTGTAAAATAAGTGCGTACATGATATCGAGCAATACTTCTAGTGCATTGCCCCTACCTGCCTTTGTAACGGACTTATATCGTATTAAGGAATTATTTTGATGTAATTAAGTAATCATTTTGATACCGATGGTCTGCACTTACAATTATTACTAGTTTGCAGTACAGAGAGTGTTTTCATAGGGTTATTCACATTACCGTAAGTTAAAGCGAAATTATGCAGATCATCATTTCAACACATACGCGTAATACACTTCATTCAGTCCCTTACCGATGCAAAGCGTTTCCTGAACACAAGCATCGTTACCTCGCATTAAAGCAACATTGATTCCCTGCTTCCGAAACTGTGGACCGTTCCTCCCGTGTCCTCTCGAAAAGCATCTTACCGAGTGTAGACATCTTACACTTCGCTTCTTACACTACAAAGTGCTTATGTTAGTTATGTACCAGTACAAAGATGCTTGGAGAAAGTTATGTGCTTAATCAAGTTCCGTCATGATGAGTAGGTAAAACTGCTGCGATGGATGCGGGGTGCTAATGCACTGCATATTATACACATAATGTGCCAGTGTCTTGTTCGACAGTTTCGTGGTGTTCGCCGATGTTCGGAAAGGTCACCTTCCACTTTAATTTTAAACACGTACTTTAATTAATTTATAATACTGAGCATGTATATGCTTCACAGCCTGATTTACCTGGCTAAGGATTTGTAATGTACTAAAAATCCTTGCGCATTCGGAACGGAAAGGAACTATATTCGACTTTCTCTAGTTAAAACCATTAAAAAGTTTTTAGTACATAATTGTGTGATGAGTCTTCCACGATTGCCGTCTACAAATCAGCGGAATCTGCAGACCCATTCTTGCTTACTTACACATATCCAGGACCATGGTTACAGTTTATTACGTGCTTTTTACTTCACAATACTAATATTTAAATATTTCAAG